AACCAGGTTAGATAAGGTTAGAAAGGAGGCCACATAGTTTAGTCCTCAGAATCACTGGCACTGAGTTGGTCTTTAAATCTTATATATATATATTTTTTGTCGGTCGTGGGGCCTGAACTCTGGGCCTGGGCGCTGTCCCTCAGCTCTTCAGCTCAAGGCTAGCGCTCTACCACTTGAGCCACAGCGCCACTTCCGTTTTTTTTTTTCTGCTTATGTGGTGCTGAGGAATCAAACCCAGGGCCTCATGCATGCAAGGCAAGCACTCTACCACTGAGCCATCTTCCCAGCCCTCAATCTTATATTCTTTTTTTTTTTTTTTTAGTTTTATTTTTTTGTGTGAACATACTGTATAGAGGGGTTACAATTACATGGGCAGGATAATGCATACATTCCTTATCAAGCATTGCAGCCTCCTCCTTTGTTTACCCTTCACATCCCTTCCCAGCCTCCCCCTATGGAAGGTTAGGGAAGAATGAAGCATTTCAAATGCGCTTCCTATTTGTTGTGCTATTGATTTCCTTTTTACATTTTCTTGTAGATTTAATTCTTGGACTATTGTTTCCTCATTAATTGATGTGCATCCTTTCTGACCATAATAACTATATCATGTTTAAAAATCTACATTACAGTCTACTATCACTCCTTTTCAAACAAAATTTGTTTTCTCCATGTCCTTGATTTTCTATTAAAAGTTTATTATTTTTTGGTGTGTGCTAGTCCTGGGGTGGGGGCCTGAGTTCTGACTTTTTGTTGTTGTTGTTAGCATCCTACACTTGAGCCACTGCTTCACTTCCAACTTTTTTTCAGAAGTTTATTGGACATAAGAGTCTCACGGACTTTCTTGCCTGGCCTAGCATCAAACTGCAATCCTCTGATCTCACTCAGCCTCCTGATTAGCTAGGATTATAGGACTGAGCCACTAGTGCCCAGCTTAAAGTTAATTTTTACCTGCATATTTTCCCCTGTGAGTATATAAAGAATCACGGCATGTATTGGAAAGAGAAGAAACACTTTTAAAAATAGTTTATTTTAAAATTCCTGTCCACAACTAAAGGGATATGTTATATGCTCCAACACTTAAACACTTTGGGATGGGTACACATATTAATCTGAAATTCGTTTATTTATTTTTTATTTTATTGTTTGGGTCCGGTCGTGGGGCCTGAACTCTGGGCCTGGGCTGTCCCTCAGCTCTTCAGCTCAAGGCTAGCGCTCTACCACTTGAGCCACAGTGTCACTTCTGGCTTTTTTTTTTTTTGTTTATGTGGTGCTGAGGAATCGAACCCAGGGCCTCATGCAAGGCAAGCGCTCTACCACTGAGCCACCTTCCCAGCCCTTCATTTGTGTTTTGATTGGCGGGCCAGCCTGTTCAATGGGACTTGACAAAATTTTGAAACAATTCTAAAGTTAATGCATTTGCCTGTTTATGTATAAAAAGTTGGGCTTCACTCAATATATATTTGAAAGAGGAATTCAAATACAGGAACACCTATAATCCTGTCCAATGCAAGAGTGCTTGCTTTTAAACAACTAAGTTTACGGCAGATTGGTAATTTAGAAAAACTTAGCCAGGGGCCAGGCCTGCATTAACTGACTGGTTGGCAGTCCCCAGAGGAGAGTAGTAATACAATTTATTGGTTTTGTGACAGCTTCTGGGAAAACATGTGAGTCTAACTTCTAAATTACTCAGCTTTATGTGATTTGGTTTTGGAATACAAAATTAATTAGTAAAAAAAATGAGTTGTTCAGCTTGTCTCCAGTTAAAAAGAGAAAAGACAGTAAATTCCTGAACAGGATAAGGGTCTGGAGCAGCACACTCTTTGTTTCTGGACCATTGGGGAACAAACCATCTCATCGACCCTGGAAGTTACTGTGTATTTTGGATATTTTAGCCAGCCTCTCCCTGTTTGTTCTTTATTGCACCCAAATCATATTCCTATGCAAGGCATCAACATTAATCACTTTTTAGTTTTTTTTTATTGTCAAAGTGATATACAGAGGGGTTACAGTCAAACTTGTTACCTCTTCCCTCATTTTCCCCCCGCTTTTCCTCCCCCACCCCTCCAAGTTGTACAGATGATTTCCAACATATTGTCTGGTATCTATCGCTGTTTCATTGTTTTTTTTTTTTTGTCTCACCATTCTGTTGTTCTCCTTTCTTTCCCTAATTAAAATAAATGTGTATACAATATCAGGGTACCAAAATCAAATACAGTGGCAAGAGGGGATATAACAATAATAGTTTTACAAGTTCTACACTTCCAGTCTTTGGATTCAGAATTTGTAGTTTAGAACAGTCCCTTTTGCCTCTGGTTTTTCTTTGTAACACTGATAAGCTAATGACGGATGATGTTTGCTCATACAAACAGCTACAATAAAATTGTGTGTCAGTAGATGTTCTAGTGCCAGTAGAGAATATTCTTCCTCATTACCAAACAAAAAAAGGTTAAAAAACCAAGCCAGATATTGCTTAGTGATGCATAATCACATGATTATACTTAGTGCCAGAAACGGTTTTCCATAGGCATTTATGTGTTAAGCCTGTGCAGGATTGAGTACTGATGACTTCCAGCCTGGGAATGCTGTCCAGGGTCATAAATCAGACATTCCCAAACTTTTGCACCACAGAATTACCAGGGAAGCTTTAAAAAATGCTTGGAACTCATACTTTCGAGGTGACATTCTTAAGGGGTTATTTTGCAGTCAGTTAAATCTGAATATTTATGAGTTATTTTTTGTAAAACTTGCGGGACAATATTATTGAAGTCAATGAGATGACTATCTCAAAGGTAAGCACAAACTTTGGGAGAAAATTAAAATAATAGAATGATACAAATGGCCAGTGTACAGTATAGCAAAGGGGGAGGTTGTAGGAAGAGAGGAAAGGGTAAGGGTCTCACTAATAATGGATCAAAATAATATTGTAACAATTCACAGAATACCAATATTCCTTACGCAGTGACCACAAACTATGCCAGTAGGTCCCAGATAGGTAGTGCAAATGTGAGTTATGAGGAGTATTGCCTAAGGGGACAGGGACACTTCTAGTGGCACCCATGACTAATCACTCGTGGATGGTGGTCATCAAACCAAGTCCATTCCAGCACTTTTTCATCTTTAAGTGTTTTCAAGAAGCTGGAATTATGGGTTTTGTACTATCACTCTAGATCTTTAGCTATTGGCTTACTTTACTAGAAGCATTGAAAATTGAATCTATTGATGACAGGTACTTCACCTGCCACCAGTTGGTAATCTTTGTTTTGAGTAATACTTCCCTAAGTGTGCTGCTTACATCACAGCCCTGGAGACCTTAGTAATACAAATTTTTAGGGCCCACTCCGGGTTACTATTGAACCACACTCTCCTCTGGGATTGGGGCCTTCTTGTTGGTATTTGAATGGTTTCCTGGATGGTCCTTTTTTTTTTTTAAGTAAGTTTTTTATTGTTACAGTTACATGAGCAAGGTAATGAGTACATTTCTTACCAAGTTCGTTTTCCAACATAATGTCTTGTACATCTCACTGTTGCAGTGGGTCAACCTGTATCCCTATTTAACCAATTTGTTTTTTTTTCCTTTCCCTCCCCAAATTATACCTACATCAAATACAGTGAAAACAGGATTATACCTTGGGGGAGGGACATACAAAGCAGCAAAAAAAAAAAAAAATCACATGGTACCTAAATACGTTAGAAACAATAGCAAGAAAGAAAAATACCTCTCCTGGGTGATTCTGAGGTGAGCTTAGGTAGGGGAATCTCTGGGAGTATGGAAGTTGATGTTACAGTTTCAATCTGGAAGTAGTAAACACACAAGCTCATCAAATATTCCATAAATTAATCACCTATCCTGTCAACATGATCCAGGACATATTGTTTGCATTTTTCACTAAATGTATATATCCAAACAGTTGAAATTGGGTTTTCTCCCTATCCTTTTTGTTGAGTGTTGCAAATGAAGTGAATTACAATCTTATGCCACATTTTCTCCTCACTAGAATGCAGCTTTTCATTGCAGCATGTCACATGAAACTAGGTATGGAACTTTCTACTTGTGTCATCGGTGCTCAAAACATTATAAACTTTGAGCTTAAACATGTTAAACCTGTACTTCCTTATTTTATCACATTCTTCTAAATTGAGTTTTGTTTGCCAGAATTAGTAATTTCATTTTTATGTAAAAATGTTAATTTAGGGCTGGGAAGGTGGCTCAGTGATAGAGCGCTTGCCTTGCATGCATGAGGCCCTGGGTTCGATTCCTCAGCACCACATAAGCAAAAAGAAAAAAGCCGGAAGTGGCGCTGTGGCTCAAGTGGTAGAGCGCTAGCCTTGAGCTGAAGAGCTGAGGGACAGCGCCCAGGCCCAGAGTTCAGTCCCCACGACCGGACCCAAAAAAAAAATGTTAATTTATAGGATTTTATAAAAGCTTACTATCCTCACTCTGAAAAGTCCTTAGTATCTTGTTAATCAAATTCACTAAAAATTTTATAGACAAAATTTGCTTAATTTAGGAGCATGCTAAAAACTTTGCACTTGTTATCAGACTCATGTATGTATGTCTCATATCAAGTGTTTAAAGTGTATGTATTGTGTGTGTGTGTGTGTGAGAGAGAGAGAGAGAGAAAGAGAGAGAGAGATTGTGGGATTTGAACACAGGGCTTGGGTACTGCCCCTGAGTTCTTTTGTTCAAGGCTAGTGCTCTACCACTTTGAACCCCAGCACTACTTTGGTTTTTCTGGTGGTTAACTGCAGATAAGAGTCCACTGACTTTTCTGCCTAGGTTGGCTTCGAACTGCAGTTTTCAGCTTTCAGCCTTCTAAGTAGCTAGGATTACAGGTATGAGCCACCAGTGCCTGCCTAAAATGTATATTTAGAGTGTTTAAAATACTGATACAGAATGATAATTTTGGAGTAATTGAGCTCAAAATAATACATTTTGGACTAGGAAAGGAATTCCTATTGTATTTACATATAATAATTAATGAAAACACTTATATTCACAGGGTAAACCAGACTTGAATACAACATTGCCAATTAGACAAACAGCATCAATATTCAAACAGCCTGTAACCAAAGTCACAAACCATCCTAGTAATAAAGTGAAATCAGACCCACAACGAATGAATGAACAGCCACGTCAGGTAAGGATCTAATTCATCCTCCAATTTTAATTTTCAGAAAATTCTAGTATTTTTAACAGACATAGTCAAATCAATTTTAATCAAAATGAAATGTTTGAAAAAAGTTTTATGTGCTGGGATATTGCATGAATGTCATGAATATAAAATTTAGGTGAAATGTGTTGATAAAAAAGTTAAAAATAAAAAGGGCTAATATTGTGGACTATGATTTTATACTTTTTGTATGGTATATAACATATGATTCTCTTAGTTTTTTAAAGGTTATCTTGTCTAGGGATGATATTCCCATTTGAAACAAATAGTTTGTGTCGCTTTATAAAAATATTTTGTATTATTTAGATACTACTTTTTTCCTTCCTTTTTCTTTATTGGTTCTGATTTCTTACTTCATGAAATGTGTCCCTACCTCTTTTGTAAATATATTAAACTTTGTCAGTATGGTATGCCATCCTGTGAGTTCCTTTTTTTGCTTTTTAATAAACTCAGTGAATTTTTCTTCTCCTTTATTGGTTCATGCTCTATTCTACCAGACTCTTTTCTTAGAAAACATGTTATCTGAAAGCCTGCCCTGCTGTTAAATAGTGCCATAGAAATGGGTGGGAGACTTGATAAAGCGTTAAAACCTCCACAGAATGTTGTCTTGTTGACTCTGAAATTGTGGTAAGAAGTTGAGGTAGTTCGTGAAATTTTGGTAATAATTAGGGCGAGCGAGTGAAGGGAAAAGCAGCTGTGGATTTTTCGTCTCCTTTTTCTGTCTCCTTGCAGCAATCATCTTTTGCTCATGTATTCTCTTTCTAGGCACCTCACAGCCCCTTTCATTTGAATTTTGATTTTCACTAGTCCTTCCTTCAAGTGTTTCTTCTCCAGATTTCATAAGGAATTGGGCTGAAACGTTCAGACAGTTGCTCTAGAAGAAAGTACATAAAGAAATACAGTTCACACATCCTCTCTAGTGTTTTTTCCTCTTCAGGTGAGCCAGGAAAACAGAAGATATTTGGAGCCACATTGGATCAGCATCTTGCTATAGATGTCTCAAGATTTGAAGTTCTAAACTTGCTTTACTGTTGGTCCCCAAGAGATTCAACAGGGGCCATGTAAGTGTATCACATCCAGTATAAAGATGCGTACTTGCATGTGCCCTTAGGCTCTTGTCAACAGTTAGGTTTCCTTTGGGCCATACAGCTTTCTGTGTGATGCTTTTCCTTTCTATTTTAGTACTACACCCAAAATTATCACCAAATTGCTGGTAGTTCTGGTGTATCCATTTCAACAAGTGAGGAAATCTATCATCTTGACCTCTACCCTCCTTGATAAAACTGTTTGCTAGTTGTATTCTTTCTCATTTTCTTTCTAGAGTCTTGAACATCTTATCCTTTTGTTTTCTGGTGTTTGAAAAATTGTTTTTCATCAAGCATCTTAATAAGTAACATTTTTGAAAAGATGTACTTGAGTAAAATAGTTTTCTTTAGAAGTCCCCAAAAGTAAAGGTAGAATATAATCTTTAGTAAAGCTGTTCTACGTTGGAAATTTGAGTTGTTTTCTGAGAACTGATGGTATTTAATAGATATTAGCCCCCTCTTTGCTAAGTCATACTCAATGTAGTCTCTAAACCCACAGGTTTGCTTAAAGAACAGTCAGTTATACATGCTTGTCTTCTTTTTTTTTTTTTTTTTTGGCGGTCATGGGGCTTGAACTCTGGGCCTGGGCAGTGTCCCTCAGCTTTTCAGCTCAAAGGCTAGCACTCTAACATTTGAGCCACTGCACCACTTCTGGTTTTCTGAGTGGTTTATTGGAGATATGAGTCTCATGGACTTTTGTGCCCGAGTTGGCTTTGAACTGCAATCCTCAGATCTCAGCCTCAGCTAGGATTACAGGTGTGAGTCACCAGTGCCCAGCTTACATGCTTGTTATTTTAACATTTTTGGGTGCAGAAACATTGTTTTTTTGTACCTAAATTCAGTCATAGATTTTTCAACGTACCATTACTAGAAGTGTTTATAAAGAAAGATAGGCAACTTCGAATTTTAAAGTTGAGATAACCAGATTGGTTGCTCCTTTGATATATTGAATACTTTTAAGTTTTTTATTATCATGGTTTGTGCAATTATTTCAAAATTAAGTGTCTCATATGAAAGATAAGTCCTTCTTCCCTCTTTACCATAAAATGTAATGTCATTTTAACTCATATTTTCTTGAGGGTTTAATCTGTTTTTTTTTTTTTTTAGCTTGCATAGATAGGAAGTGTCAAAGTTATTTTTCATTTACTTTTCTAAAAGCGTGGGCCATTTTGTACTTTATCCTTAAATAACTTGACAGTATTTTCTAGATACTTATGATTGTACTAAGGCATTAGTGTTCTTTCCTGCTTCATTATCTTCAGTGTAAGAATTGAGGCACGAGTTTCTTAACCATATTAGGTAGATTGTTGGAAACTCATCACTTTAGATTTTTAAAATTAGATTGACAGTATAAATTGATGACTATTCCATTGCAGTTATTTTTCATGCAGTGAAATTTCTCTTTCTGAAGTTCCTTTAGCTAACATTTCTAAAAATACTAAGACAAGCTAATGGTATCATAATTCTTTTTAAAATGTTGAGTTTGAGCTCCAGAGGTAAGATTAACTTTTTTTAAACTTAAAAAAAATTAGATTCCACCTCTGAATAGTTGGAAGTAATTAATTTAGATGACAAGCAATTGTAAAAATTACTATTTCTGTGCCTAGTTCATCATATGCCCAAGGTATTTAATTTTAATCAGGTGTTAATTCTGTAAAATTGATAGATAATAAATTTCTGATAAATATGTTTTAGCTTAAAAAGTACATATTAGTATATGTAAAAGAAGTTGTGTTAAATAGAATTGAATAGAGAATTCAGTATTTATTTCTGCCCAGAATTAAAGTTGTGAAGTAGAAAATGAATTTGTAAAACCTGGTTATGAGAAGATAAGTAGTCATAGTGATAGGGAATACCAGCATTTTTCTTTTTTTTCTTTTTAATAAGTTTTTTTTATTGTGAAAATACCGTACAGAGGGGTTACAATTACATGGGCAAAGTAATAAGTACATTTCTTATCAAGCATTGTTGCCTCCTCCTTTGTTTTTCCCCTTCCATCCCTGCCCTCCCATCTCCACGACTGCACCCCTTCCCCCAACCCCTCCCCACCAAAGTTGTAAAGTTTGTTTTTCAACATAGCATTTTGTACATCTCATTGTTGCAATAGGTCCACCTGTGTCCCTATTTAAACAATTTGTTTTTTCCCCTTCCCTTCCCCAAATTATACCAGCATCAAATACAGTGAAAACAGGGGTTATACCATGGGGGAGGGACATACAAAGCAACAAAACAATCACCTTATAAATATGTTAGAAACAATAACAAGAAAGAAAACACCACTTGTGTCCTTATCATGGGGTTCATTTTGCCTAACTAGTCATACAATGGACAAGGGTCTCATATCTAAAATATACCTGGACCTCAAAAAATTAAATACCCCAACAACAAATCCTCAAAGAAACAACTGCCCAATAAATAAGTGGGCTAAAGACTTAAAGAGAAACTTCTCTGAAGAGGAAAGAAGTATGTCCAATAGACACATGAAGAAATGCTCAACCTCTCTAGCCATAAAAGAAATACAAATCAAAACAACACTAAGATACCACCTCACCCCAGTTAGAATGTCTATAATCAAGAACTCTAATAACAACAGATGCTGGAGGGGATGTGGACAGAAGGGAACCCTACTGCATTGTTGGTGACTTGTTCAACCACTTTGGAAAGTAGTATGGAGGTTCCTCAAAAGACTCCTCATAGAGCTCCCCTATGACCCAGCAATCCCACTTTTGGGCATTTACCCGAATGATCACAAACAGGACCATACTAAAGCTACCAGCACCACTTTGTGTACTGCAGCATCATTTGCCATAGCTAAAGATCTGGAACCAACCCAGATGCCCCTCAGTAGATGAATGGATCAAGAAAATGTGGTATATATACACAATGGAATTCTATGCCTCCATCAGAAAGAATGACATTGCCGCATTTGTTAGGAAATGGAAAGACTTGGAAAAAATTATATTAAGTGAAGTAAGCAGGCCCCAAAAACCATAGGTCCCATGGTTTCCCTTATTTGCAATAACTAGTATATGTCTGAGTCAAGCAGAAATACCAGCATTTTTGATAGTGTCTTTTTTTTTTGAAAAGAAACCTGAAGTGGAGGGAGCTCCACTAACTCTCAGACTATTACCTCAAATAGTGAGATCATTGCCATGTCCTTATTCAACAGGATGCATAAAATACGTCGTTAGTTTTAATTGATTTGTTATTAAGAATATCTTTCCTACAATTAGTCTTTGAATAGATGGAAAACTCACCATCCTGGCTCTTACTTTCTTTGGTACTCTCATCTTTGATTCTTCCCTTTTGTCTTCAAATCAAAGAAACTTCATCTTCTTTATATACTTTGTTTTAATTATTAAGTTACAGGGTACTGATAAAGCCTTTCATTTTTTTTACTTCACTTTATGTTTTTATTAAGCACTTGTGCAAAGGGGTTATAATTTCCTAAATCAGATTATGAGTACAATGCTTCTTTGTCAATGTTACCCCTTCCATCATTCTCCCCCATTTTCTACCTCTTGTCCCTACCCTTGAATTACATAGTAAGTTCATTTTGTCCATAATGTTCATTGAATATAACTACTACATTTGCTACCCTTCCTCCTTCCATTCACATGCCCACTCCTTTGTCTTCCCCCCTAAACATATTTTCACTTCTGGTATTCATTTTGATAAACAGTACATTAGTTGTTCAGAGGAATTATTCCTTTGGAGTCCTCCTCTAAGCATACTGTCCTTTAGTCAGTTGGTTTGTGTGTATGTATTATCATTCATGTTTATATTTAATGCCTTACCTTTTAAAGTGATTGGTGGTCTATGACTATTGCTTATATTTCTTACAAGATATAAAATATTCACTTTATGTTGTAGGAGTAATGT